TTCGCGCTTGGGTGTAACTGGGGCGCCGTCTCCCATCGCCGCGCGCGCCTCGAGAACCGGAGCCTCGAGTGAGGACCACACTGGGGAATTGGGGGCGGCTTTAGTTCTCCCTCAGCATTTTCCGTCAGAGACCATGCAAGAGGCCCTGTGCTGTTGCCTTCCTTTAGTGTCTCAAACGGAACCTTCCCGACCCTCCCCGAAGCGTCCAGCCTCCCCCTCCAGCACAACGGTGCTGGCCACCTCAGAGGTCTGTGGGATCCGAGGTCGTGTCATTCACCGGGCTTTCCCGGCTGATTCGTGGACAGTAGATTCTACATTATTTTTCTGGACATTTGGATATCAGTTTATTCAGCTTAAAACATGTGACCTTGTCGCCAAAATCATCCATTCTTACCTGGTCTTGAAGGACTGACAAGCCACGATTTAGACGTCCATATTTCTTTAAAATCACAAATGAAAACACCTTTTAAAAATCAGAATTCCCTAGTCAGTTATGTTGGTGACTGACCAGCACTTGCGTTTGGTGGGAAAGTTTTGGAAGAAGCTTTAAGTAGCTTCTTGGGCCCCTGGTTTTACCGTGGAGAAGGCGCAGGCCGCTCTCGGGACTGGATCTGGACCGGACGTGCCGCCTCCCCATCCACCTGCCTGGCCGCACGCTGCCGGCGTGGCTCCCTGTGGCCCGAGGAGCGTTCCTTGCAGATGAAATGGCAGATCACAGCGCTGCCTACACATCCAGACATTCGCCCCACCAGCCCATCCCATTTTCAGTCAAGAAATGCTGAGTATAAAGATGATCAGTTGCCTGGCTCCACCGGTGCGTGGGAGCAAACCCAGCTACAGCGACGGGAATGGAAGGCACTCATTTTCCACCGAAGCCAGGTTTTCCCACGGCCTCCTGAAGAAGGATGAAGTCAGGTTTTCAATGTTTTCCCAGGTAGACTTGCAGTGGTTTCACAGAAGTATAATGTTATAAACTCTAACGAAAAGCTCTCCCCTTGGATTGCTTTTTATCAACTAGTCACCCTCTGGAAGAGGCCTTTAGTTTTTGAAAGGTGTTTGGAGTCCGGCCTTACCCAGCGCTGCTGGTTCCCAGCTGCTGGGATGTACCCACAGCACCTCCAGGTCCCAGCAACCGGTCGGTCCTCCCCGATTTCTTTTCACTCCGGCAGCCCAGGGGCGTGCAGCCTGGCTCTACCGAGGAAGACTTGCAAGGTAAGTGACCTGCCTCGTGCAGCTGTGACTTAGATTGTAAGTGTGGGAAAAGCAAGGCAGCGGCCTTTTCTGATTGCCCAGAATCAAGAGAAAGTGACCAGTGAAAACCAAGTGTGAGGAAGAAGAGTCATTCTGTGGTGTTGTTGAAGAGAGTTGGCCAGTTGGCCAAACCCAATGATTTCAGTGAAAAATTCCATTAGGTAACTGAATGATCTGGGTGGGGTATTCTCATCAAGTTCAATGGTTTCCTCCTTTGTGTGTTATGTGCATCTAAACTGTCTTTTTGTAATGGATTCTCAAAAGGCTACGATATTATCAAGGAGGGACCAAGGAGGGACAAGGAATTCTTACCGGGCTCTGCTGATTAAAAAACAAAAAAAACAACAACACAAAAAACAAAAAAACAAGTTGACATTCAATTGAATGGAGAGGCAGTTTAGTCAAATCATAAAACTAAAAAGAATCTTAACAGGTCTTCTGTTTGGATCCTGTATCTAGGCTACTGTTATATACCCTGCTCATCCAAAAAGATTATTGTATTTTTTATTTTAAAACATCTCCACAACTGCAGAATTACAGCCTCCTCTGACAACCAATTTAAGTTTAATCAACCTAGATTCTGTACAGTTGACCAAGCTCAGTTCCTTTTACACAGGAAATGAGGCTTGTTCAGAGAGAATGCCTCAGGGGTTACTGGGGAGCATAGTAAAAACTTCGGCCAGCTGGTTAATTTTATGGAAGGCAAGGCAGGATTAAACGACATTCACCACACAATTCTTTGAGACGTTTCATACCTGTAATTTGCAATAAAAGGACATACAATCCTGTAAATAGATTTGTTAATTATTAGTCTCCTAAAATTATATTTGATCTTATAATTGGGTTTTTACATGATACTCCTTGAAGTTCTGGTCTGTGGTCTGTAATAGGAAAGAATCTAACAACACAAATGATTCTGATACTTTACTTTTCAAAATTATCCCCCTAGGTCATACAAGTCATCTGGGGAAGGTTGTTAGAATACATATTTCTTAGCACAGCTGGAAGGTTCTGATGCCAGAGGTCAGAAATGGGGTGGGAGTTACCCCACGTGAGTCAAAGCAAATGATCCTCAAAGCACAAGTTGAAAAACTCCATCCAAAACGGAGAAGAACCGTTTTCCAGTCCAAAATAGCCTTGTATTTCAGAAAATTTAGAGTCAAGTAAACATTTAGGAAAAAAGTCCTAGATTCCAGCTGAGAATAGGGACAGGGGCACCATTTCCAGAATCACCCGGAGAGTAGGGGAAGCCTCATCTTCACAAATATCCCCCAAAAGAACCAATAAATCTGAAATTCTGAGGAATTCATACTCCTTTTAAAAGTATAATGTATAATGCAAATAATTCTGGATGTTAGCTAGTAAATCACTTGTTAATGGACTCACTTTAACAGATAATTGTTTTCTTAAATTTTTTAAATATAATTCTTTATTGTTGAAAGTATTACATATGATCTCTTTTTTCCCCCATTGACTCCTCCAGTTGGCCCGCCCCCTCCCCTCTGCCCCAGGCCTTCAGCACCCTATTGTCTGTGTCCATGGGCCATGCATATATGCATACAAGTCTTTGGTTGATTACCTGCCTTCTCTCCCCCCAACCCCCTCTTCCCTCTGAGATTCCGCACTCTATTCCATGCTTCCATGTCTCTGGATCCAGTCCGTTCATCAGTTTTTGTTACTTATTAGATTCCACATATGAGTGCGGTCATGTGATACTTGTCTTTCTCTAACTGACTTATTTCACTTAGTATGATCCTCTCCAGGTCCCTCCATGCTGTCTCAAAGGGTAAGAGATTCTTCTTTTTTACTGCTGCATAGTATTCCGTGGTATAAATGTACACAGCTTTTTTATCCACTCATCTACTGATGGGCCCTTGGGCTGTTTCCAGACCTTAGCTATTGTAAATTGTGCTACTATGAACATAGCGGTGCATACATTCTTTCTGATTGGCACTTTGAGTTTCTTAGGGTATATTCCTAGAAGTGGGATTTTTTATTGATTTTAGAGAAAGAGGAACGGGAGAGGAAGAGAGAGAGAGAAACATTGAATTATAGTTTCACTTATTCATTCATTCGTTGGTTGATTAATGTATGTGCCCTGACTGGGGATCGAACCCACAACCTTGGTATATCAGGACAATGCTCTAACCCCGTGGTCAGCAAACTGCGGCTCACGAGCCACATGCGGCTTTTTGGCCCCTTGAGTGTGGCTCTTCCTAAGCCTCAGGAGTACCCTAATTAAGTTAATAACAATGTACCTACCTATATAGTTTAAGTTTAAAAAATTTGGCTCTCAAAAGAAATTTCAATCGTTGTACTGTTGATATTTGGCTCTGTTGACTAATGAGTTTGCCGACCACTGCTTTGGGCAATCTGAGGGTAGACTCAAAAGTTCTGAGGAGTGGATTTCAAAAAGAGGTGGATGAGCAGCAAGAACCAACAGATTCTTCACTGTGCCACTGCAAACCACCCTCTACCTTTGACCTTGATGTTGATAATTGCTTTTGCTCTTTGCCAAGCATCCTTAAAATGAAAGGCAAATTCTGTAGCTTCCACTTTCTTGGCTGTACAAAGAACTTTATTCCTAGAATAACTGTATATGCTTCTGTTTCTTTTATGGTTGCCTTGATTCCTTTTTGGAAGAAAAGGACATTACTAAATTTATTTCTTTGGCCAGGCCAAGAACTTTGAATCAAAGCAGAGTCCTTCTCAATTCTGTGGGGAGATGGATAAAAGCTTAGGCCAGCCTAGCTATCTTTGATTCCTGGCTGTACTCTTTACTAGTTTTGTGACTTTGTGTCTCCATTCTGTCATCTGAAAAATAGGGCCTAATATAGGGAACCTACATTATAATATTGTGAAGATGATTAATGAGTTTTCAAAATAGTCCTAAGTACAATAAGCATTCAATAAAAATTAGCTTAATTTAATCTTAAATATTTTAATGCTTTTAAGGCAGCTTTGTTTTCTTAATTTTCCCTTTTTTCATATCTAAAGAAACCAATATTTCCTATGTTAGAAGATGGTGCTCACTCTTTTAGAGAATCCTGAAACTATTTTAAACATTACCATTACCTTTGCTAGTGTTTTATCACTTTGACTTAGGGGGTTTTTATAGCCAAAACAAAAATGTTTAAATTAATAAATGTGTATTTTGATATTCTGGAGAACAATTGTCGGTACCAAAACAGCAAAGGCTATTGTCCTGTTTTGGGGTTTTGGCAGTGAGGAGGAAGAGATGCCCTAAGTTGAAAAGACATGACTTAATGATACTCGTACCCCCACTAGAATTCTGGGGCAGGTTAGTGGAAAAGAGGTGGCCCTTAGAGAAGTCAGTGTGTTTCATACCGTTTAATCATTGAAAACATTTTAATTTTTGCAGAACCACAGAGGGCAGTTAAAAAAAAAAAATAGTGAGAATTTGAGTAAACCATGGCTAGTGCAAATAAATCTCAGGGTTAATCAGCACATTCTTCCACAAGCACTAGGTGGTGCTATAAATTTAGTTTTGAGATTCAAAGTACTACCTCAGGAAATGGTTGTCTTTATTCCACAAATATTTACTATGTAATGAACAAAATATTAAAAATCTGTCCTTGTGAGGATGGTGAGAAGAAAGAAAAATGATAAACATAGTAAGTCATTAGAAGTATAGTATTTTAGAAAGTGGTACATGCTATAGGAAATAGAGCAGGGAAAATGAGATGAGGAGGCAGTTGCAATTTTAAATAGGCTCACCAGCACTGAGGCCCTAAGACTTAAGGCTGGAGTGGTCTGGTTTGTTTTCAAGAATTGCATAGAGACCAAGGTGACAGGAGAGGAATGAGCCAGGAGAAGTCTGACTCTGAAGAGGGAGGAAGAAGAGGCTACGTTGTGTAAAACCTTGTGACCTATTGTGAGGACTTTGACTTTTACCTGGTTTTGGATAAAAATACCTTTAATAGAAGTTAAGATTTGAAAAAAATGTTGATAAGAACCATAACATTTATTCCCTAGAAACAATGTTATAAATGCCAATCAGGCTCTCCCATTTCATCTACAACGATTAGATTTTTTTAAAAATGGAGACAACCCTAAGTTCCCAGGAATGTTGTTCAATAAATTATGGTTCATCCATTTGATGTCTAGCACCAAACAACTGTAGAAGGATGAGATAGAGCTATACATACTGACATAGGGCGTCATAGGGCGAGGATGGGGGTAGGGGGCAGTGAACCACTAGCAGAAAAATACACATCTGACTCCATGTGGATAAAAACGTGTCCGTGTGTGTCCACCTATTTATTTGAAGGCATTTAAAAAAGACAGGAAGGAAAGGCACTAAACTGTTAGTAGTAGTAATCAATGGGTGTGGAGTAAAAATGGGTAGAATTGGAGGAGACTGTCATATTTAACTCTATTAATGTGGTATTGAATGAATTTTTTTTAATATGTGTTGATTTTTTTTTTTTTTTTTTTTTAGAGACAGAGGAAAGGATAGGGATAGAGAGGTGGAAATGTCTATTAGAGAGAGACATTGATTGGCTGCCTCTTGCACACCCCCTACTGAGGATCGAGCCTGCAACTCTGGCAGGTGCCCTGACTGGGAATCAAACCAGTGATCTCTAGGTTCATGGGTTGTCACTCAACCACTGAGCTGCACTGGCCAGGCTGACTGGTCCTTTTTTATGTCATTGATCTTCTCACTAAGTTCCTTGAAGTTTCCATTTATATTCCTTAAGCATCGTTATAACCATTGTTTTGAACTCTGTATCTGGTAGTTTGCTTGCTTCCATTTCATTTAGTTCTTTTTCTAAAGATTTCTTCTGTTCTTTCATTTGTTTCTTTGTCTCTGCATTTTTGCTGCTTCCCTGTGTTTTTTTCTATGTATTAGGTGGAGCTGCTATGTCTCCTGGAATTGGTAGAGTGGCCTTGTGTGATAGGTGTCCTTCAGGGCCCAGTGGCTCAGCCCCACCAATCAC